GCGGCAGTGGCGCAAGGCGCGAGTGGCAGAGGGGGCGGGGTTCGGGCATGCTCGGGTCGCGAACGGGGCGTTGTAGCGAGCGACGATGGGGTGTGGCGGCGAGCTCGGTGGGGCGGGGCGGGGCGTCTCCGGGTCCTCGGCGCCGGCGCCCCTGGCCGTCCTCGACGACTTCGACCGTGTCATGGCCAACGCAGTGGCCGCCGTCAAGCACGCCGCGCGCGTCATGGTGCCGCGGCTGCATCCTCTGCACGGGGAGCACCACGGGGGTGATGGGCGGGGTCGTGACGCTCCCCTACAGCCTCTCGAAGGCGACAGTGAGCGTGGTGCGGATGGTGGCGGAGGAGCTGGCGCGCGACGGTGTGCGCGTCAACGCCATCTCGCCGCACACCATGCTACACCGCTGCTGGTCCGGTTGCTGGCGAGGGCGCCCCCGGGCTAGGCGCTGCCCGCATGCGGGCGCGCGGCCGAGGAGGACGCCGTCGAGCTCGCCAAGATGCACTGCGCGGACTCCTCCAGCACTGTTCCGCCCCGGGCGGACGCACTTCGTGCTCGAGAGAGAGGGACAGGGGAGAGGAGAGATGAAAAGAGAGGAGAGAGGTTGTGGGAGGCCGATGGTGGGCCAAGCGCAAGAAAAAGGCATCGCCGACATGCCCAGCTGCTCCCCGGGGGGCTGGGTTTGGGGTGGGACTGCCGGCATCAATTTTCTCTAAATCCGGCGAAAACTGAGGCTTTGGAGCGCGAGTGGGAGGATATTTTACTGCTGACGCCGAAAAAGTGGCCGTGGGGGGCGTCTTGGAGGGCCGGCTGGAGATGCTTTAAGAAAAACGCTTTGGGTGGTTTTACAACGAAGCCTCTATTGCAGAGTGAATATCGTAACAATCAGCTTGTTGAAATTCAGGACACACACGTTTGGAAAGATCCGACGGTTATTTTTGCATCATCGGATGGCCCCGGAGAAGGCCGATGTTTTCATCCTATCCGCCAGTGGATGCGTACCATCACCATTTTCATAAGCAACCTTCTTTTTTATATAGAAAATTAAATTATGAGTGAACTCGCGTTTATTTTTCTGTGCGAGCTATGTTTTTCTCATGAATGCACCTCCGTAGGTGTTATCAATGTTTTAGGTTTGTCTCTATTATCTCTACTCAATGTTGTTTTCCTTCCTTATCGCCTAGTTGATATATTATCAAGGTAATAAATTAACAGGACAAAAATCACGCTGGGGTTTCATCAAATTTTCTTTAAATGCATAATCTAAACAATATTTATTTCAAACAAAATTCTTTATCATCAACTTATATTACATTTCATAAACATTCTCATATTTTGAAACATCAAATTAAATTATTTGTTAACAGTTCCTGCAGCAATGCGTGGGTATCATCAAGTTGGAACTAGTATCTCCGCAAAAAAAAGAACTAGTTGAACTACTCCCTCTGTTTCATAATATAAAAATATTTTTGATACTACACTAGTGTAAAAAACGTTCTTATATTATGTGATAGAGAGAATAGTATGTAGAGACCTTTTGTAGCCACGTGTCGCACACTGGTTCACCAAAGCATCATATAAACAAAAAACGGAAATGATAAAGTACCCGTGACGTACCCCTGCATCGTTCGTGGTTATATATAGTGGGCGTCGTACGCCCCAGTTCTCAGTTCTCACAGACAGTACGCAGCCTGTGCATGCATGCACATCCCGACGCGTCCACACAATACAGAGTAGACATCACTACATCAAACATGGCCGGAGCTCGTCATAAGGTCGGCGAGCTGTTGCGCCACGCACGGCGACGGTCGACGGCCGCGCTCGACAAGGCATTGTCCCTCCTGTCATCGCATTCCTGGTCATACGTGCAGCACCACGTCGTCAAGGAGCGGGTGAAGCGGTGGCGGCACGCTCTCGCCGGGCGGTTCTGGCGGCGCCTCGGCTCGCTGCTCGTCCACGTCGCCTACTTCCTCGCCGTCTCCTGGCTCGGTTACCTCCTCCTCGCGCAGCTCAGGTTCCGCGCCGGCGGCGACGGGACGAGGCGGCCCCGCGGCATCGACCTGTTCTTCACCGCCGTCTCGGCCGCGACGGTGTCCAGCATGTCCACCGTCGAGATGGAGGTGTTCTCCAATGGCCAGCTCCTCGTCCTGACTGTCCTCATGTTCGTCGGCGGCGAGGTGTTTTTGTCGCTCCTAGGCCTCGCGTCCAAGTGGTCCAAGCTGAGGAAGCAAGCCGTTCACAAATCATCCCGCCGCGTCGACAACCACGACGTCCCCGAGCTTGAGATGCCGCCGGTAGACGCCGCCACCGAATTGGCCAACCCAACGTCGATGACATCGACCGTCGATGATGAGATGAGCAAGCCGTTGGACCACTTCGATGACACGAGGCTGCGGCGCGACGCGGTGCTGTCGCTGTTCTTCGTCGTCCTCGCCATCCTCCTAGCGGTGCACGTCCTCGGTTCCGGCGCCATCGTGGCGTACGTCTTGCACGCGTCGCCGGCGGCGAGGCGGACGCTGCGGGACAAGGCCCTGAACATGTGGACCTTCGCCGTGTTCACGACGGTGTCCACGTTCTCGAGCTGCGGGTACATGCCGACGAACGAGAACATGATCGTCTTCAAGCGAGACACCGGGCTGCAGCTGCTGCTCGTGCCGCAGGCGCTGGTCGGGAACACGCTGTTCCCGCCGCTGCTCGCCGCGTGCGTGCGCGTCGCCGCCGCGGCGACCCGGCGCGTGGAGCTCAAGGAGACGGCGAAGAAGGGCCGGGAGTTGACGGGGTACTACCACCTGCTCCCGGCGCGGCGGTGCGCGATGCTGGCGGCGACGGTGGTGGGCTTCCTCGCCGTGCAGGTGGCGATGCTGTGCGGCATGGAGTGGGGCGGCGCGCTGCGGGGGATGAGCGCGTGGGAGAAGGTGTCGAACGCGGTGTTCCTGGCGGTGAACTCCCGGCACACCGGCGAGTCGACCCTCGACCTCTTCACCCTCGCGCCGGCCATCCTCGTCCTCTTCGTGCTCATGATGTGAGTTCTCCTCGATCTGTCCCGTCTCTCTCTTTCTCATCGCTGTCGGTCGATGCTTACGAGAATGCCATACCTGAGTTCCCTACGTTGAACGCCAGCTAGATTCTAGAAGGTATAGAAGCTACTAGGATTTTATTTTCCTGTGCTTCTCAACTAAATGTTTGACACTGATCATTCATGAGGTTCCCTAACACTTCCTTAAATCTTAAGTCACATTTCTAAGAATTTGATCAGCACCCCAATCGTCCTCATCCCATAGTGAACAGGCAAGAGCATTTCACTAAAGTTTTACAATTTGCAGAGACATATTCTTTTTTTTTGTACAGGGGATTAGCAGGGATTTTTAACAATTTCAGGCCAATGGTAAATGTTATTATAGACAGGCTAGGCTTTCACTACCCACGCGAAAGAATAATACGTAAATAAGTGACATTTGGACAGGAATGTAGTCAAACTGTTAATAATTTCTATACTGTAGTCAAACTTTTAACAAGTTTCTTCACAAACAAAAATTAAAACGTTTAAATATTGAGACTTAAAATCTTGAAAATCAATTATACATATTTGTCTCAAAAGCATACTAGAATACGAAGTAGCTAATCGAAAACCCATCTCTGCACCCGAGCTCGTCTGCACCCGCGCTGACGAAAAAATCAAAACAAATTTGAAAAAATTCAAAAAAATTTAAAAGAAAAATTGTGTGGTAGAAAATTTGATGCGTAAGGTCCGCTCCAATTTTCAAATTATTTGGACATCTAAGGAGCTCTCAGCAAAAAAGACAAATTGGGAGTCTGTAAAAATGTTTACTATTCATGTACTGTTTTGGCCTGATTTGTCTTTTTTGCCGAGATCTGCTCAGATGTCGAAACGACTTGAAATTTGGAGCAGGCCTCACGCATCAAATTGTCTACCGCACAAAAAAAATAGAATATTTTAAATTTGTTTTGAATTATTTACACTTTTTTTTAACTGGGTGCAGATGAGCCTGGGCAACCAAAACGCCCTACTCGTAGCTAATTGCCAAGTAACATCTCAGAGTGGCAATATTGTCCAAGAGGGGTACTATGCAAGGACTGCATCGTGTGTACATAGTAATCGGCATTTTTTCTATGTTTTTGGAAAAGGAGGAAGAACCCCGGCCTCTGCATCTGGGCGATGCATGCATCTATCTTATTGATTACTCACAAAAAACCTTATAAAGTAATACATCGGTAAGACTGAAACCATCGTAAAAAAAACATATGTGGCTACTCCTATCCAGTTGACGAAGGGATGTTGATAGAATCGGCATTCGTTCTTAATTTGCCTTAATTAACTTGTCGTCCATGTTAGTACGTACTCCTAGGTGCATGCCAAACTATATACCCCGATCATTGCTGAACATACTCCGTGCCAAGTACTAGCAGTCCAACATGGGTGGCGAGGTGCACTGCAGGCGGTTGGCCATTGTGGTCGTGGACCTCGTTCAATAATTGAACGGAGAAGTTTTTCAAAAAAAGAAAAGAAATTGAACGGAGAGGTAGAGGAATCTTCCTTCCCTGTGAAAAGCATTCGAGCTCGTCAACCTCCCCGCCCGAAAAAGAGGAGAGCATTGCCATCCGCGAGTCGACAGGCACGCGCAGGCGCTGGCTGACCGCATGCACCTTGGCCGGCAGGGCCTGGAGAAGAACCAACCACCAGCATCGACACAAGTTGAGAATCGGGATGCTGATCGGTGATCGGAACGTATTCCAACGTACTCTGCAGGTCTCCATTCAGAGCGAGGCCCCATCCATCGCGTGCACACTTCCAATTCAGGCCGCACCGTCGTAGTAGCTTCCTTCCCCACTAGCACATTGTTCTCTGAATTCCATACATGCATGCATGGTGCCGTGGTCTATGAGAAATCGTGACCGTATGTATATAGGCAGCGAATCCGGACCAGTATCTGTGCCATTCCATGAGAATGTTTCCGCTCGCCGGAATGTCCTTGCACGTCGACGTCTGGATACTGAAAGTCTGGTAGTAGGTGCCATTTTTGGGATCCAGAAGAGCCTTGGTAACTTGTGTCAAAGTTTGATCATAGATTTAACTAACAAAATGTTAATGCATATCATAAAAAATTATACCATTGCATTTGTATTTGGACATAGTTTTTGTTGGAAATATGAGCAATTTACCAAATGATTTTATTAACAGAAATAGTAGATAAAACATGGCTAGAATAGCAAATATAAAGCAAGTCATGCAATCTGACAGAGAGAAGGTAAACATCGTCTGCATATATGAACTTGAGATAAACACATCTAGAACAATCACTAGATGAAGTTGCTTATACGACATAGAGCCTAACATACGTAGGACAGAAACTAGAGCCAAGAACTGTAGTAGGACTTCTAACAGAAAGGAGAAGAACACGTACGGCACAGCAGCAGCAGGAGCGCTGGACTTGGGGTCGGTGTCCTCGCCTGCCATGTCGTCGAGGAGGTCGTGGACGTCGGGGAAGAAGTCGTCATCGGGGAAGTAGTCGTCGGAGACCGGATCGCCCGTGATGAAACAGCCAGTAGTCGCGCAGAGCGCTCCCCAAAAACCTTATCACCCTTCTCCCGTACAGGACTCAAAGAGTGCGGTTTCGGAGGCCTACTGTCCCGACCTGCGGTGCACGCCGCAAGCCGGGATGGAGAAGATCGTAGCAGCAGCGCAGTGCTCAGGAACCTGTGGCGAGAGGAGGAAGAGATTCTGGTGCGTCTCTCTGAGAGGAGCGACCTCCCTTTTATAGGCGCAAGAGAAGGAGGCGAGAGGTTGCGCCGGGAGCTGAAGAGAATGCGGGAGACGAAACGAACAGACAGCAGCCGAAGAGGAGCGCCGTTCGAATTCAGTGTCCAGGCACAGACAAAATGTTTCAGCTTCCGAGTGACCTTTCGCATACCCGTAGTGCGTGGCAAAAATTTAGACATCGGCTCGTTCCCGCAACCCGCAACCCGCAACCCGCGGCGCGGCGCGTCGCGTCGCGTCGAGGCGAGGCGGGCGGCGGAGGAGGAGCGCGCGTGGATGTCTCTCTTGTTCTCATGCTCATACAAGTGGGGAAGGAGCCTCCCTTATAAGAAGGTCCAACTCCCTCTAAACTAGCAATGTGGGACTAAACTTTAGTAGTATCCCTTGCCTTGCACAAATGGGCTAAGTGGGCCTCTAGGATTTATTAGGAATTTCTGAAATAGTTATTGGGCTACCCCAATATAGACTAAATTCCAGCAATCCCCCACCAGATCCCAGAGGCACACAGAAATTTGCCTTTGGTTCCAAAACACTGTTTTATATACCGGTATTGCAGTGGGGACTGTTAAGTTGAACTTCCACCTAGAGCTCTATGCTACACTAGTAAGCAACTTGAACAGTGGACTGAGCCTTGAACTGCAAGTTTTCTGCGAATCTAGCTTCACATAAAGCCTTGACCGATACGTGGCTACCGTGGGTCTTCCCCGCGGGTGGAGCTTATGCGTCATACTCCATGACCTTTCATGAGTTTACTAGAGAGAACCCTACTCTCATAGATTGCGGCGTTTGACAATCAGACTCATATAGGTGTGTTCTTCAAAAGATGTTCTGCAGGACAACATCTCTGCTTCAAAGAGCCACTTAGAACACATTAAGATATACATCAACCTGCCATGCAGATTAGGAGAGTATTGCATCTTCATGGAGTGGTATTTTAAAATAAGGATACTCTCCTCCCAGTTGACCAACAGCTTGTCTTCCACATCTAATTCACGGGATCTCCGATCACAAAGAATAGGTTACCACTGTGAACAACTCATATTGTGGGTCTCATACCCATCTCCCTCGATGCATTATCTATCACATTACGTGATAGACCCTTAGTGAAAGGATCTGCCAGATTTTTAGACGTTTGGATATAATCCAATGCAATAACTCCGGAGTTTCTCATTTTCCTGACAGACTTCAACCTTCTCTGAACGTGTCTTGATGACTTCATGTTATCCTTAGAGCTGTTCACTTTCGTGATCACAGTTTGATTGTCACAGTTCATAAGGATACCCGGTACAAGTTTCTCAACAACCGGCAAGTCATTCAAGAGTCGGCGAAGCCAATCTGCTTCGACCGTAGCTGTATCTAGTGCTGTGAGTTCTGCTTCCATAGTTGACCTCGTTAAGATGGTCTGCTTGCAAGACTTCCAAGAAACAGCGCCACCTCCATGAGTGAACACATATCCGTTCGTGGCCTTTATCTCATCAGCATCTGAGATCCAGTTTGAGTCACTATACCCTTCAAGCACCTTTGGGTGCCCAGTGTAGTGAATTCCATAGTTTATAGTGCCTTTCAAATAACGCAAAACTCTCTCTAGAGCTTTCCAATGCACATCTCCCTGTTTTGAGACAAACCGGCTCAGCTTGCTAACAGCAAAAGAGATGTCAGGTCTTGTAGCACTGGCTAAGTACATAAGCGAGCCAATAATCTGAGAATACTTCAATTGATCTCTAGCAATTCTTCGATTCTTTCGAAGCAGCACGCTAGCATCATATGGTGTTGGAGAGGGCTTGCAGTCACTATAGCCAAAGCGACTCAAGATCTTTTCCACATAGTGAGATTGAAGCAATGTAATCCCACCATCATCATCTCTCAACAACTTGATGTTCAGAATGACATCAGCCACTCCTAAATCTTTCATCTCAAAACAGCGAGATAGGAAATCCTTGACCTCCTTAATAACATTCAGATTTGTTCCAAAAATCAGTATGTCATCAACATACAAGCAAAGCATAACTCCCTCGCCCCCACCATGGCGATAGTACACACATTTGTCAGCTTCGTTCACAACAAAGCCTGCAGCTGTTAAAGTTCTTTCGAACTTCTCATGCCACTGTTTGGGTGCTTGCTTGAGTCCGTACAAAGACTTCAGCAATTTGCACACTTTCCCTTCCTGACCATCTATTACAAACCCATCTGGTTGTTCCATATAAATTTCCTCATCCAACTCTCCATTCAGGAAAGCATCTTAACATCCATTTGATGAACGAGAAGACCATGTGAGGCAGCTAGTGAAAGTAGAACTCGAATAGTGGTCAGTCGAGCCACAGGTGAGTAAGTATCAAAGAAATCTTCACCTTCCTTTTGGGTATAACCCTTAGCCACGAGTCGAGCCTTGTACTTTTCAATCGTACCATCAGGCCTAAGCTTCTTCTTGAATACCCATTTGCATCCTATAGGTTTGCACCCATAAGGACGATCAGTTATCTCCCAAGTTTCATTCGCCAAGATGGAATCCATCTCGCTACAAACTGCTTCCTTTCAGTAGTCAGCATCTTCAGATGCATAAGCCTCTGAAATAGAACTGGGAGTGTCATCTATGAGATACACAAGAAAATCATCACCAAAGGACTTTGCAGTCCTCTGTCTCTTGCTCCTAATAGGAACTTCATTGTTCTCCTCCACGGGATTTTCAAAGTGTTCCATCGAAATGGCAGGTTCGGTAATTGTAACTGGTTCCTGACTCGATGAACTAGGCATCTCCTGATTAGATGAGGTAGCCATATCCTTCATGGGAAAGATATCTTCAAAGAAAGTCGCATCATTCGACTCCATGATCGTACCGACATGCATGTCAGGTACCTCAGATTTTACAACCAAGAATCTATAGCCAATGCTATGAAAAGCATATCCCAAGAAAACACAATCCATAGTCTTTGGTCCAAGTTTCCGCTTCTTTGGAATTGGAACATTGACTTTCGCCAAACAACCCCATGTTCGCAGATAAGAGAGTTTTAACATTTTCTTCTCCCATTCCTCGAATGGAGTTATCTCTTTGTTCTTTGTGGGAACTCGATTTAGGACATGACATGCTGTCAATATCGCCTCCCCCCACCATGCCTTGGAGAGACCCGATGTGTCTAACATGGCGTTAACCAAATCAGTTAGAGTACGGTTCTTTCTTTCAGCCACCCCATTTGACTGAGGTGAGTAGGGAGGCGTCCTCTCATGGATTATACCATGTTCCACACAAAAAGCATCAAATTCATTGGAAAAATACTCTTCACCACGGTCGGACCTAAGCCTCTTGATTTTCCGATCAAGTTGGTTTTCCACTTCAGATTTATAGATCTTGAAAAAATTCAAAGCCTCATCCTTAGATTTCAGAAGATACACGCAACAGTATCTAGTGGAGTCGTCAATTAACGTCATGAAATATTTCTTTCCACCTTTTGTCAAAACACCATTCATTTCACATAGATCCGAATGTATAAGTTCTAGTGGTGCAAGATTTCTTGTCTCCGCAGTCACATGAGACTTACGAGGTTGCTTAGCTTGCACACACACTTGACACTTAGATCCCTTAAAGGTGGTGAAACTAGGGATTAAGTTCAACTTCGCTAGTCGCGACATGCAACCAAAGTAAACATGACAAAGTCGTGAATGCCACACATTTGATTCACTATTGTTGCAAATATGATTAACAACTTTATTGCAAACGTCTGATAAGGATAAACGAAACAGGCCTCCTGACTCATAGCCTTTACCAACAAAGGTTCCATACTTGGATATTACAAATTTATTTGACTCGAAGACAAGCTTATAGCCATCTCTACACAGAAGAGATCCGCTAACAAGATTTTTATTGACGGAGGGGACATAATGCACGTTCTTCAGCCGCACGATCTTCCCCGAAGTAAACTTCAGATCGACCGTGCCAACACCACGAACAGAAGCACTTGAACCGTTGCCCATCAGCACGGTTGAAGTCCCTGCGGTCTGATAAGACGAAAACATGGAAATATCACCGCATACATGCACATTAGCACCCGTGTCAATCAACCAATCAGGAGAATGACATACTGAAAGAATAGTGGAAAATATACCATACCCAGCATCCTTCATGTCAATGTCCCCGATGACAACATTAGCGGTCTTGCCGCCTTTCCTAGGATGACGCTTGTCATAGCGATTGGGGCAACTAGGAGCCCAATGATCAGGATCTCCACACACGTGACAAGCACCTTTCTTCTTGTCATTCTTCTTCTTGAAGTTCGTGTGCTGCACAGCCTTGTTCTTCCCATCAAACTTTCCTTTATCATCAAACTTGCCCTTGTTCTTGAACTTGTGGGACTGGAAGTTTTTCTTCTGTACCAGATTGGCACTAGATCCTCCCTCAATACCTCGAGCACGTGTGTCCTTTGCTCTCGCCTTTTCTTCCACATCAAGAGTACCAATGAGATCCGGAACGGAAAACTCCTGTCTCTTATGTTTCAGTAAGGTAGCAAAGTTCCTCCATGAAGGAGGAAGCTTAGTGATGATACCCCCGGCAACAAACTTGTCCGGTAGCATGCAGTTGAAGTGCTCAAGTTCTCTAGCAAATGACTGTATCTCGTGAGCCTGCTCAACCACGGAGCGCTCTTCAGTCATCCTGTAATCATAGAATTGCTCCATGATGTACAGCTCAGTGCCGGCATCCGAGACCCCAAACTTGGCCTCGAGTGCGTCCCACATATCTTTTCCATTGTCAATTGACGCATAAGCATCAACTATGTTCTCACCAAGAACACTCAAGAGAGCAGCCTTAAACAAGGTATCCATTTTCTGAAAAGCTTGTGCCTGTTGGGCATCTTGCTCTCCTTCAGGTTTGCCAAGAGTGGCGTCATAGCAGCTCATGGTCTGAAACCATAAGACTGCTCTCACGCGCCACCTCTTATAGTGGATACCCTCAAACATAGGAGGTTTCATGGAAGCAGCAAAACCACTCGTGGTAAATTGCCTATAATAAGGTTTTTGGATTGTTGGAAATATGAGCAATTTACCAAATGATTTTATTAACAGAAATAGTAGATAAAACATGGCTAGAATAGCAAATATAAAGCAAGTCATGCAATCTGACAGAGAGAAGGTAAACATCGTCTGCATATATGAACTTGAGATAAACACATCTAGAACAGTCACTAGATGAAGTTGCTTATACGACATAGAGCCTAACATACGTAGGACAGAAACTAGAGCCAAGAACTGTAGTAGGACTTCTAACAGAAAGGAGAAGAACACGTACGACACAGCAGCAGCAGGAGCGCTGGACTTGGGGTCGGTGTCCTCGCCTGCCATGTCGTCGAGGAGGTCGTGGATGTCGGGGAAGAAGTCGTCGGAAACCGGATCGCCCGTGATGAAACAGCCAGTAGTCGCGCAGAGCGCTCCCCAAAAACCTTATCACCCTTCTCCCGTACAGGACTCAAAGAGTGCGGTTTCGGAGGCCTACTGTCCCGACCTGCGGTGCACGCCGCAAGCCGGGATGGAGAAGATCGTAGCAGCAGCGCAGTGCTCAGGAACCTGTGGCGAGAGGAGGAAGAGATTCTGATGCGTCTCTCTGAGAGGAGCGACCTCCCTTTTATAGGCGCAAGAGAAGGAGGCGAGAGGTTGCGCCGGGAGCTGAAGAGAATGCGGGAGACGAGGCGGGCGGCGGAGGAGGAGCGCGCGTGGATGTCCCTCTTGTTCTCATGCTCATACAAGTGGGGAAGGAGCCTCCCTTATAAGGAGGTCCAACTCCCTCTAAACTAGCAATGTGGGACTAAACTTTAGTAGTATCCCTTGCCTTGCACAAATGGGCTAAGTGGGCCTCTAGGATTTATTAGGAATTTCTGAAATAGTTATTGGGCTGCCCCAATATAGACTAAATTCCAGCAGTTTTCAATGGTATAATTTCTGCTTATATGCATTGATATTTTGCTAGTTAAATCTACGGTCAAAATTTGACACTAAATATAAAGGGGATAGTAGAACTGAAGCTCCAGCACGCAAGTGCTTTCATACTGCATATCTACAATTGGACGCTCTTCTCAATGTTCCCATTATCCTCTCGACACAATCCCAACGCGTTTCTCAACGAGTTTCGCGTACCTCATCAAAGTAGATAAAGCGTGTTAGTGCACCCTTTGCAGCTACACATTATCATCACTCACGTTCTGCTTCTTCTTGCTTGCATGCAGGTACCTGCCTCCATACACGACGTGGTTTCCATTTGAAGAGAGCTCCGGCGTCAAGGACCAACCCAGGGAGGAGACCCAGGGGGTCAGGCTGCTCAAGAGCACGCTTCTGTCACAACTCTCCTACCTCGCCATCTTTGTCATCGCCATCTGCATCACCGAGAGGGAAAAGCTCAAGGAGGACCCCCTCAACTTCAACTTGCTCAGCATCGTCGTCGAAGTCGTCAGGCAAGTCCCCTCTAACTCTAAGCAATCCAAAGCTTGAAAAAGAAAATAACAATATACTCCTTTTTCCTTCTTTTTTCAAGTATATACTACACGATAAGAATTGCAAGTCGCACCTTGAGGGAAGCTGACATTTTTCAGTGTAACGTTCTGCAGCGCTTATGGGAATGTGGGCTTCTCCATGGGCTACAGCTGCAGTAGGCAGATCAGCCCGGACGGGATGTGCACTGACAGGTGGACCGGCTTTGCTGGGAGGTGGAGCGATTCTGGCAAACTCATCCTCATTCTTGTCATGCTCTTCGGGAGGATGAAAAAGTTCAGCATGAAAGCGGGCAAAGCCTGGAAGCTTAGTTAGAGGCAGCAGCACCTAGTGACCACCGCAGCCGCAGGCACTAGTGGCCATGGCCGGAGTGAGCTCCGATCGAATTAACCACAAGAATGGTTTCCTCATCTTTTCACATCTCATGTATGACTGTACTCATCTAGATGTAGAAGAGGGCCTTCAATGTGTCATTCTTTTGCTTCATGGGTTGGCCTTTTTTTAGTCTGGTTGTTAGTTTGTACTACAAGCAAAGAAAATACAACGGTTACTCAAAAAAATAAAAAATACAACGAGACGACAAAAACCGCACGAGCGCCGCAGGTGAAGTTATGCCTCGCTTTTAGGGACGTGACTATGTCTCGCTGCAAGCGAGACACAGTCAGCTCTCGCTGAAGGCATCGGCCTTAATAGGCCCGCCCAGCTCGCGTGAGGCCACTGCCTCCTTTTTTTCGTTTGACCTTTTGTTTTCCTTGTTTAATCTTTTTATTAATTTTTTCCTTTTGTTTACACTTCCAAAAATTATAACCATATATATTACGAAATAGACTTCTCGTAATGTTTTAAAAAATGTAATCATGCATTTGAAAAATATTAAATGTGTATAGGAAAATGTTGAACATGTATACAAAAAAAATATACAATGGGTGTGAAAAACTTGATCATGTATTTAAAATGCGTTAAACAAGTATTTAAATTCTTTAATCAACCGTTTGAAAATTATTGAATGTGTATAGAAAAAATATTGACCATGTATGAAAAAATGATTAAATCTTTTGATCATGTATATGAATATATTAATCAAGCATTTTCAAAAAATAAAAGTATTTAAAATTTTATATCAAGCATTTTCAAAAAATAAAAGTATTTAAAATTTTATATCAAGCATTTGGAAAACGTTAAATGTGTAAATAAAAAATGTTGACCATGCATTAAAAAAGCATTTGAAAATAGTTTGAAGTGTGTATAGGAAAAATGTTGACCACCTATGCAAAAAATGTTAATCTTGTATTTAAAAAATATTAATCAAGCATTTGAAAAATGTTTAAAAGGTGTATAGAAAAATGTTGAATATGTAATAAAAATATATTAAATTTGTATTGGAAAAATATTAAACATGTATTAGAAAATGTTATTGACATATACAAAAATTGTATAATGAAAACTAGATAAAACAAAGAAAACCAAAAAAAGAACCCTAAAAAGAAACAAAATAAACCAAAATAAAATGATAAATAAAATCAAAGAAACAAATGAATAAAGAATGAAAAAAGGAGAAGGAAAAAGAAAAGAAACATCCCGAATGAAAGAAGGAAAAAAAACCAGTGAGACCCGGGCTCATTTTGTGTCAAGTACATCTCACCCTACCATTTGACCATAATCCCAACGCTAGCCCGGTGGCTAGTACCGTTTCTACGGTCTCGCTGAATGCGAGAAATAGCATTCGCTCGCTTTTAGCTGATTGTATGTACGGGTGTCGCCTCAAACTATAGCTGGCCAAATGGGCCGGTTTTTTCGGGCCGGCCGTGAGCACGCCGGCATGGCCCGCCTTGGGCCAGGCACGGCACGGGCTAAACGGGCCGGGCCCGGCACGCGGCACGCCCTGGGTCGTGCCTGGGCCTGGAGGCTGGGCACGCGGGCCGGCACGGCACGACCTGATTAAGTATTTTTTATTTTTTCTACATCTATATATGGCTCAACATGTAAAAATAGGCTAAAAAACGTTCAGTGCGTCAAATAATAGGCTGAAAATATGCGGCCCACCGTGCTAAACGGGCCAACGTGTTGGCCCGTTTACTAAGTGGGCCGTGCCTGGGCCTGGGGGCGCAGCACGCGGGCCGGCATGACACGGCCCGTATAGTAATCGTTCCCTGGCGGGCCGTGCCGAGCCAGGCACAATTATGATGGGCCGGGCCGTGTCGTGCCGGGCCGGCCCGTTTGGCCAGGTATGCCTCAAACGCGAGATTGTTGGGCCTGCCCAATATGCTGAACCAAATTGTTAGTTTTCCTCCTCTATTTTTCCGTCCATTTTCTTTTTCTTTTCTCATAATTTTTAAAGGAGTTTAAAATGGATTTATTCCAAAACTAAAATTTACATAAAAATTATATAAACCATGAATTTAAAAAATATTTCATACCATTGAAAATAATGTAGGAGTACGTTACAATTAAGAAAATGTTCACGCATTTCAAAATTACTGTTTGTGCCATTTTTAGAAAAAGTTTGCGTAATTTAAGAAAAAAGTTTTGTATCATTCAAAAAATTCAATGCATATTTCAATTTCTTAAAAATTGCATTTGTAAAAATGTTGAAAACCATGTGTTTGGAAAATACTAATCATGAATATGAAATTTTTTAAACATGTATAGAAATTGTTTTAGGTGTATATGAAAACGGTACGATGTGTATGAAAAATAGTAGACATGAAAATATATATTTGAAAAAAATCATGTATTTGAAAATGCTCAATGAGTATAAAAAATATTTAATATATATAAGAAAATTTACAATACATACAAAAAAAGTTAATTGTGTATTTGGTCTGGACTTCACTTTTGGACGCCAGGCTATATCTCAGAGTAGCCGAGATATAAGGCTAGTTTGGTTCATGCCCACATCTAGTGCCTTGGAAAAAGCACTGGCAGGCCTGGACTTCACTTTTGGACGTATTGTTGCGTGTCATGTAGTGTGTGGGTGCGAACGTGTTTGGTTTTGGGCCGGGCCTGGAGAGCCATCGAACTTAAAAGAATGATTCATGAGCACATCTATCGCGAACAACTTTGTACTTGCAATCCCGGGCAACCATCATGGCTTGCCAGGCGCTGAAATTTGGCGCTTGAGTCAGGATACCACTTCATCACCATCATCATCGAAGAAAGAAACTTAAGTACATGGGTATGGGCACCACCATTGGCTTGTTCCAAGCTTGGGGGAGGTGCCCCGGTATCGTATCATCACTTTTATTACCGTTATCTATCTTAGTTCGATCCTTAGTTATTTCATGATTTAAAAGAATAAAGTTTTAGTATGATCTAGTTTCTAGTGCTTGTTTCGTGATCTATCTATATATGTAATCGAGTGTGAGAGTTATATAATAAAGAGTAGTTTTGAGTTGACTTGTTTTACTTTCTTGTTTTAATCTAAGAAATAAAAGGATCATATGCTAATACCATGGGGAGTGATGACTTCACATAAAAGAAGTATAATTGATGAAATTTGTTGGAAGTTAACAAGCATAGCATTGGTCATTGTTGCAATTCATGAAAAGTAATAAAGAAAGAGAGGTCTCACATATAAATATATTATCTTGAACATCTTTTATGATTGTGTGCCCCCATTAAATATTCTATGTCAAATAGTCAACGTTGGACAAGGAAGACACCATAATGAGTTATGTTTCCCTATATTCACATAGAAGTTATATTATTATGAATCCTCTAACATGTGATGCTTGGCTATGATCTTTTGCTAGCCAAAACTCGCACTAAGTAAAAATACTACTTGTGCATCCAAAATCCTTAAACCCAGTCTTTTGCCGTAAGACTCCACCATATCTATCTATGAATTGAATAAGATCCTTCAAGTAAGTTGTCATCGGTGCAAAAGCAATAAAAATTGCTCCTAAACATGTATGATCTTGTAAGGGAAAATAAGCTTTGTACGAACTTGTGATGGTGAAGAAATAAAAGCGAAGGACTGCAAAATAAATGTCGCTATCACAAGGGGCAATATAAAGTGACGTTCATTTGCATTAAGAGCTTGCGCATCCAAAAATAAAAAACGCATGATAACCGCTGCTTCTCTCTGCAAAGGGCCTATCCGTTACTTTTCTGTATTTACTTTTATGCAAGAGTCAGTAATGTTCATCCCTATTCCGCTCTATTTATTCTCTAGTTGGCAAGCATCATGTGGTGGGAAAAGATCCAGACATGATATCCAGTTGGATGTAGGTAATCATGAGTTATTATTGTTAACATTACCCTTGAGGTAAGTAAGTTGGGAGGCGGAACTATAAGTCCCCATCTTCCTATGTGTCTGACTGAAAATTTTGCTCCATAAATATGCCATGAGTGTCAGCAATTATAGAAGACTAAATGATAGTTGAGTATATGAACTTGCTAAACAAAGCTCTTACGTAGACTCTTTCTGAAAATATGATGGACTGTGATTGTTTCAATGACTGAGATCATAGTTTGTTAGTTCCCAATGAAGTTTATGGTTTATACTTTAGCTTGTGAATGATTTGTTACTTTAGCATGGGAAGTTTTATGATGATATATTGCTTCTATAATAACGATCATGATGCTTTCATGTTTGTATTTTGTTTTATCGACACCTCTCTCTCTCTAAACATGTGGTCATGATTATCGATTTTGGTTTTCGCTTGAGGACAAGCAAGGTCTAAGCTTGGGGGAGTTGATATGTTCATTATGAATCACGTTTTCCTACTGTTATTTTTTGTGTTTTGGATTGTCATTTCACTTTACGATACTATTCTTATGCCTTTTCTCTCTTATTTTGCAAGTTTCACGTGAAGGAGGGGATTGCCGGCAGTTGGAATTCTGGACCGGAAAAGACTATAGAAGAGATGGTTATTTTGCACAACTCCAAATGACCTAAGAATTTATGTTGAGTTGTTTTGGAATATATATAAAATATTTACGAAAGAAATAATAGAATGAAGGACACTAGGGAGCGACAAGCTCAGGCGGCGGGCCCTGTGAACTTGTGGGCCCCTGCAGGCCTGCGGTGCCCATCTTCTGTTGGAAATATGCCCTAGAGGAAATAATAAATTGGTTATTATCATATTTACTTGTTCATGATAAATGTTTATTATTCATGCTAGATTTGTATTAACCAAAAACTTAAATACATGTGTGAATACATAGAAAACACAGTGTCCCTAAGTGAGAATCTACTAGACTAGCCCGTTGATCAAAGATGGTTAAGGTTTCCTAACCATAGACATGAGTTGTCACTTGATAAAGGGATCACATCATTAGGAGAATGATGTGATGGACAAGACCCAACCGTA